GTGCCAGCCGGTGGTGTGGCTCGGCTTGCCCTGCAGGCACCGTGCTCAGGCATTGCTTGGGGATGCACAGATGGAGATGTGGGATGTGTGCTGTGCCAGGGGGACCTGGTGGCCACTGCCCAAGTGGGCACATCCCTCATGGGAGTGAGGGAGCTTTTTGGAAGTAGGCATGGCTCCAGCACCATTTCAGGAAGCAAGCATGGGGTTGAGGGAAAGGGTTCTTTTCTAGGTGTTTGCACATTTTTGAGCAGCGGGCAGGGCCCACGTGCTGTGCCCATGGCGGAGCGGGGCAGGCTGGCACTGTGCCCATTCCCAATCCCTCCCGGGGTCAGTGGCGTGTCGCAGGGCAGCGTGGCGCCATGCTGCTGCTGTCCAGACTGTGAGTCACCCTGCAGGTTGGTGGGCATCAGGGCTGGGGAGCCTCAGCTGGTACCCAGGTCCCCTCAGACCCTCCCCAGGGCCCTGCCTTTGGCCGGGAGCTGGCCCGTGGGTATCCCCATCACCCCTGCATCTGCTTCCCCCCAGCTGGGGGACAGAGCTGGTCGCATAGGTTTGGTGCAGGGGGCTGTCGCATAGGTTTGGTGCAGGGGGCTGTGCCAGCCAGCTGCCTGCCCCCTCCCCAAACCCTGCTGCCCTGCACCTGCAGCCCTCCAGGACCCTCTTCTTCCCTGGGCAGGCATCTCTGCCCACAGTCCCCCTGGCAGAAGGCACCATCTGGCCACTGCTTCTATCCCAACCCCACAGTCCCATGCCACCCAGTCCCCCCTGGGGTGCCAGGGCCCCCACCAGCCCCCAGCCCGCTCCCAGTGTACCTTCTGCAGCCTCCCTGGGCATGGCTCCCTCTGCCCTGCGCCCGGGCAGTGTGAGTGGGCAGTGAGGAGGTGCGGGGCCCCTGGGAGCTGGGCACTGGGTTGCCAGTGCGCCAACTGCGCTGCTTAAAATAGGATAGTGAGAAACACAGTTGGGGGGGGATAAAAATAGCTGTGGGGAGGGGGGCCTGGTGGCGTGGACAGGGCTGCCAGCAGCACAGTGCCAGTGTGGCAAAGGGACAGCAGGTTGTGGCAGTGNCCCATACTTTTTCCCAGGGTAAAGGGGCTGCCAGCTCACCTGGGGATCAGGGCAGAGTCCATGCAGGGAAACTGAGGCCCCACTGGACCCATCCAGAGCCAAACTGGGGTCTGTGCCATCTCTCAGTAGCAATAGCAATTGTGCCCAGCCTGGGGGCACCACAAAGCCCCCCCACCCCAGCTTTGCCCACAAGGACCATGCCAGCTCTGCCAGGAGGATTTATTTAAGTTAATGAGACCGTTAAGAAGTGCCAGCAGCAGTGCTGCCAGGCTAGGGGACCGTGGTGGTCCCCAGCCCGGGTCACCAGCCCCACGTGCCCTGTGGTGGGCAGGTATCAGAGGGCAGGAGGTCCTTATGCCCATAAAGGCTGTGAGTGTGGGTGGGCACCAGGCAGGAGGCAGCAGGGCCAGGCCAAACCTGCTGTGCACAGCGTTCGCCTGCCCAGCCACGGTAGCAGTGGCAGCGGAAGGCAGCCGGCGGGCTGGCACTGGGTCCGAGGTGCAGGAGGCTGCCCAGGTCATGGGGCTGCCGGCGCACGCAGCGCCCGTGTCCATGGCACTGCCTGTAGCTGCACTCTCGGGCCGCCGCCGTCACATTGGCCACGTAGGGGCCCAGGGTGGACACCAGGTAGTGGCGCAGGCTGGCACAGCTCTCCTGGGGAGGAAGCACCAGTGAGAACCCGCCCCGGAACCGGAGACCCTCTGGTCACCCCTCCCCAGGAGGCATCAGGGACATGGCCATCCTGTATGTCCCATGCCACCTCCTCCTGCCCACCACGTGCCGGCTCCAGTGCAGTGCGGGGCCATACTCACAGCTGAGCGGGAATAGGACATGTCTCCCCAGAGCACGAGTCCAGCTGCTCCCAGCGCTGCACTCTCCCCAATGGTGTGCACCAGGTCAGCCTGCCAGGAACAGAGACATGACCAGGCTGGGGAGGCACAGGCTGTGTCCCTGTGCCACGCAGAACCCCCTGGCACACACAATACCAACTCCAGCCCCACAGTGCTTACCAGCTCCAGGAACTGGGGTGAGCGGCGGAAGGAGAGTCGGGAATAGGCGATCACGGGCAGGAGGCCATGGGCCCCGAAGGCGGCCACACGCAGGGCCTCACGCAGCCGGTGGTGGACGTAGCGGTGGCGCAGGGCAGGTGGCAGTGCCGGTGGCAGGTAGATGCTGGGGTAGAGGGCCGAAGAGGCAGCCCAGAGCCAGCCCAGCCGGTTGTTGCGCTGCACCTCTGCCGGCTGGCACTGCCCGGTGTAGTTGGCCACCTTGGCCCAGTTTCCATTGAGGCAGTCAGGGAAGCGGTAGAAACCCCAAAGCCCTCTTGGGCGCAGGGTCTGGCCCAGCAGAAGCGTCTCTTCCATCAGAGCCTCTGCCGCCTGCTCAAACTCCTGCTGGGCCAGCCGGAGCAGCCGCCGTGCCGGCAGGGTGCCATGCCGGTCCCGCACCCACTGCTTCGAGGCTGCCCGGTATATCTTTTTGGTCCCCCAATTTTGGGCCCAGAGGGGCCTCCACTCCTCCCAGTCCACCACGGCCAAGCCATGGAAAGCAGGGCGCAGGAGGAGGCGGATGTCCTCAGCCACCCTGGCGAGGTGGGAGCCAAGGGGGACGCGCTGGGGGATGCCCCCATTGTGGGGGACACCCTGCCGTGACAGGTAGGGGTACAGCCCAAACTTGTTCTTGTAGAAGATGGTGATGTTCTGGCCCATGAAGCAGCCGTCCTGGTTCTCCACGATGCCATAGTCACTGAGAGGCAGCGCCACACCGAAGCGGCACTGGCAGCGCCCAGTGGGGACGTTCCACACCACGGCAAAGGGCTGGCCGCCTGACAGGGGCTCAGGTGCTGGGCTCTCCCCGCTGGTGGTGCCCAGTGCCAGGCACACCCACAGCACCAGCACCAGCACCATCCCCCCTCACTGGCTGCCTGCGGGGCCAGCACCCTGCAGGGAAAAGAAAGCAGTGGGGGTGAAGCTGCGGGGCACAGCAGGCACCCCAGCCATGCTGGCACTGCCACCCTGGCATGCGGCAGGCTAGGATCAACCACAGGTGCCAGGTGCCCCGCAAGCACGTGCTGCCCACCCAAAAACCCCACAGGACTTGGTAAACTTGAGGGTGTGAGACCCCTCCTGCCTCAGCACTGGCAGTGGGCACCTCTGCCTGCTGCATGCTGGGGTCGAGCCCCTGCCTGCCACCAGCACAGCCATGGCACAGCTCTGGAGTGGCACTGCAAGCCACAGACCCCGGTGCTTCCATTTTCCTGCTGGCTCCCAATCCTGCCTGTGGTGGGGGCACCATGACCCCCTCCTCCCCATTTCACCATAGCACCTTGCCCAGCTGGGTGCCCTACTGAGGGACCAAGCCCCACAAGAGGCGTGGTGGAGCCAAATGCACAGCTGGGTCCCTCATAGACCCAGGCAGAACCAGAGGGGGCTGGTGCCCCTGCCCAGTGCTGGCCAGCTGCCCGGGACAAGGGGATTAGACGGCGGAGGGGCCCGGGGGCCGCGTGATGCAGCAAGGGCAGCGCTAATCCCCCGGCGTGAGGCCGGACGCTCTCCCTGACCTTCCCGCTGCCATGCCTCTAGCTCTCACTGATGACAGCTGCCTCGGGGTGGGGGGGCTTGGCCACCTGCCCCCCTCGCCATGCAGCTCAGGGACCCGACTCTGCAGCCCCACTGCCATGCCATACTCCCCCTGGTGCCCCTCCAGCCATCGTGTGCCTTGGTTTACCCATGGCTGCTCAGTGGCAAGAGCAGTGGCCATGCTGGAGACCACCACACACCATCAGCCCCAGCTGCCCTTCAGTGAATCCCCTGAGTGGAGGAGACACTGCTGGGACTGGGTGGCACTCCTGGGATCAGTCCCAGCCCCACGGCCTAGACTGGACCTGGCTCCCTGCCACACTGGTGGTCCCAGAGCCATGGCCAGGCGAGCCGGGAGCCAGGTGGGAGTGGAATCAGTGTGCCCAGGCAGGGCAGGGTGTGAGGACCCACCCAGCAATGGGGCCAGGGTGAACCAGGGAGGCTGGGGGAGCTGGTGCCAGCCCTGAAGAATGGCAGGCAGTCAGGCAGCGCCACAGCAGGCAGCTCCTGCCTGCACTGCTTTTAATCACCATCTTGGGGCCCCAGGCCCTCAGATGTCCTTTTTCATCCAGAAGATGGGGAGCCCTTTGGCGTCGCGGTGGGGGGTTTTCAGGAGGCTCTGCTTGCTGTTCTCAGCCAGGACACCCCTCGCCCAGATCACAGTCGGTGGAGGGGGTGGTGGTGGGACAGTGAGGGGTGGG